GCAGGAATGAACCTTCCCCAGCCCGGCCCACCCTGGGGTTCTTAACTTAATAAAATCGGTGGATCATGCCCTTGAGACCTGAGTGCTTCCTTCTCTCACACTTTTGAGACTTCCCAACCCAAGCCAGCACGATGCAAAACACGCTTTATTTACAAAAACTCACCTAAGAAATAGTGTAGGGGTAGCAGGGGCATGGGGGTGGTTGGGTCCTGTCTGGGCCAGAGTTTAGTCATGTCAGCCCTGCGTGGGAGAGGGGGTATGGGGACAGGGGGTTCGGTGTCTACCCCCCCGCCCCCAGTACTGATCAGAGCGTTTGGTCCTGGCTGGACCAGGGCAAGAAGGGAGAGTGAGGCCAGGCCAGCGTCTTCAATCCCAGCGGCTAGGAACCCTTCACCTTGGTGAGCAACCTGTGGTGGGAATGGGGAGGAAAGAAAAACACAGAAAGCTGGGGTGGGCTGGCAGGTGGACGTCCTGAGCAAGGAAGGATGACTAGGGAGGCTTGGTAGTCCCCAGGGTTAGTAACAGAGCCCATGTGGAGAGAGCGGGTACCCTGGGTCAGAAAGCTACACGTGGACTAAATAAATACAATATCTTTATTTGGCATTGGGTATCCTGACATTTGTTCATTACAGTTCCTTAAAAAAACAAACCAAAAAATCAGAACAAATTAATCAAAAATAAAGATCCAACGGCCCTATGTACATATAGCAAAGACAGCCCAGGCATTGCGTGCGCGCACGCGCGCGCGCACACACACACACACGGGAGACAGTTAAGGGGTCAATAAGCTTTGGGGAGTGCAGGGGGCAGGTTCCACATTTCAGCAATTTAAAGACACCCCTCCCCATGAAGTAAGGGTGCCTTGTACAGCCAGTGGGGTATAATGAGCGTGGCTGGCAGCTTTATTTTTCCTCTCAGGATATCTTAGAAAATAACCCTGCATCCAGCAACTGACAGTGTCTTAGATTCCATGAGATTAGACCACTTCAAGGACCTCCCTTCTCCATTTTTCCCACACCCTGGATCATTCATCTGATTACACCACAAACCCCCAAATCACAAACAAATGGCCCCTACTGCACCCTCCCCTTGAATGGGCTGATGCAAAAATCTCAGCTGTCGCCCCCCTTCCTCTCTCCCTGGGTGCTCACAAGAGGCCCATTTTCAAGTCCCTGTGTTAGGGAAGCTGCCCCAAGGCCACAAAAAGCTACTAATATGATCCAGTGTGGTTGTCAGGGAGGAGGGAAGGCCTCAAGCTATCAGAATCAGAACCCCACACACAGGCATCAGTCATTACTAAAGAGCTGTAGGATTTTTGTCCAATTTGTCCCTACAAAGGTGGAGGGATTGCTGGGAGGGACTCTCCCAGGCATGAGACACAGGATGCCTCTGGCTGAGGGGGGCAGACAAAAAAGGCCTTGAATAACAACACCCCCAACCCGGTCCCCAAAGAGGTTAGACTGAGACAGAGGAGGCAGCTCTAAAACCCCCTGGCTACAAGGAAGGGTTCACATGATGCCCTGCCCTAGTCCCACAAGCTTCCAGAATTCTCGAGAACCTGGAAGAAAAGACCCTTCCAACCCCAGGGGAGCCAGGCCCCGGTGGCAACTTGGGCCCTGCAGATGCCCAATACCCTCCACCCAGTGTCCCCCCCTGTCTCCCCCCACCGCCACCACCAGCCCTCACTTCACCAGCACTGACTTTGGCAGAAAGGGCTCCGTGCTGACGTCTCCACGGTGGGAAGACAGCTGCGGTGGCGGTGGCTGCCCCGGAGGCTGCTGGCGAGTGCAGGGCCCAGAGGTGGAGGCAGACACGGAAGCTATGGCTTTGGCTGCACCTCGGGGCAGGCTGTAGAGGTAGACGGCACCGATGACCAGCCCTGCACCAAGGGCAAACAAAGGGTCCACGTGGAAGCCAAAGAGGCGGATGGAGGCAACAGTAGACAGCACAATGGACAAGGAGGTGGCAAAGCCCTTGAGGATATTGTCGGCATACTTGACGACAACAGCCACCAGTAGCCCGCCGAAGGCCTGGTTGAGCACCACGCCCCAGACAGCAGGCGTGTACCCGAAAAAGAAGCCGCGGTGGGCTACAGCGGTGCCCTCGGCCCACCAGAGCCCCACCAGGCCCAGGGCTGTGCCGAAGAGGCCCAGCTGCAGGTTGCGCAGCCACACGGAGCCTGAGCTGCCTTTGAGGATCTTCTCAAAGTAGACACCTGCAAATCCCGAGGACAGACAGGACGCCACGACAGCTGCTAGGCCCGCCCCAGGGTTCTGATCCAGAGGCCGCGGGCTCCCACCGCCGGCTTGCTGTGCCTGGACAATGGCGACTCCGGTGAAGAGGAGCAGCAGGGAGGCCCACTGCAGCCGGGAAAGGCTGCGG